TCCTCCGCCACTACGAGGAGGCCACCGAGGCCGGCATCCGCGTGGACCACACCCGCCCGCGCTGGGACTTCACCGGCGCCTTCTACTTCGTGGGCACCGTGGTGTCCACTATCGGTACGTGAGCCGCGCGGGAGGGCGGAGGCGCGGGAGGACTCGCTGGCATCGTTCCTGGCGGGGCGCTTGGAAGGGGGGGGACCAGCGCTTCTCCACCTCCGGTTCAGCCGCAGCGCTGCCGCCGCACAGGTGTGAGCTGTTACCTGACCCACAGGTGGTATCCTTCCCGGCTTCTCTAAACGTGGTCCAGCTGCATTCACATCACTTGGGAGCCTGTTACAGTGGGGCCTTGACTTACGAGTTTAATTTGTTCCGAGACCGAGCTCGTTAAGGAGCTCGTTAACTCAAATTACTCTATCAACTCAATGCAAAAAATCGGCCGCGAGACAGCTGGTATCTCAAAAAACTCGTTAGTTGGGACACTCGTAAGTCAAGGCCCCACTGTATAAGTGCAGAGTCTCGGCCCCTCCTCTGCCCCCCAGAGTCAGAATCCGCAATTCACAAAGGTCCCAGGGGACTCGAATGATCCTTAAATTGGAGACGCTCTGCTCTGGGAGATGCTCAGTCTAGTTAAGAAGACGTTGCTCGAGCTTGTGGAACTTTAGGGAGAAAGCTTACAAATTGGGGCTGGGACCTATAAACGTTCATTGAGTTAGTGCCACTCACAAGGCGGGGATGGAGCACACATTTAAAAAGTCTGCCCTTGCCCTGGCCGGTTTGGCTCAGTGGGTAGAGCGTCGGCCCGCAAGCCAAAGGGTCCCGGGTTCGATTCCGGTCAAGGGCACGTACCTTGGTTACAGGTTCCCCGGCCCTGGTCCCGTTGCGTGCAGGAGGCAACCAGTCGATGTGTCTCTCTCTCACATCGATGTTTCTTTCTCTCCCTCTCCCTTCCACTATCTCTAAAAATCAATGAAAAAATATCCTCGAGTGAGGATTAACAAAAAATAAAAAGGGAGTCCATCCTTGACTTCAAGTTTACAGAGAAAATCAGATTGAATACCAGATGGAAGGTTAGGAAACATGCTAATGAGAATGGAAACTGTTTCCTACCCTGAAAAATTGGGCGAGAAGTGACCTTTGGGCTAACCCCGTGGTGTTAGGTACGGTTTGGGTTTTGCATCCTAAAGGAGGAAAGAACTGCATTCAAGGGCCCCATGGTCTATAGCAGCGGTCGCCAAACTTTCATGCTTCACAGACCACCAGTGGTCCGGGGACCACCTGTTGGCGACCGCTGGTCTATAGAACAGGCTACAAAGTCCTCCCAGCTAACGGGATGGAGGTGTCTCTTTACTGTTAGACTAAGGAGCTAGAACTTACCTAGAGGCAGTTGGGAGCCACTGAAAGTTTTTGAGCAAGAGTGTGGCATGGCTCCAGTCAGTTATGCCTTTCTTCCCCGCAGAAGGAACAAGTTGGGTGTCTGCACCACATTTCTAAAGATAATTCATCCTTGAAACATAATCGAGTGCTAAGGGGGTTGGGGAAGATGCTGTGGAAATTTTGAAGAAAGAAAAGAGCTGGAGCAGAGGAGGGGGCTTTGAAAGGCTACGCTGAAAGGGAGTGGCTCCCATGCCAGGCACTGGGAATAGCAACGAGGCTCACGGCGGCATCTCGGAGGACAGGCGCTCTGCAGCTATGGCCCCGGTGCCAGCAAGAGAGCTTGTCAGCGAGGCGGGTGGCAAGGCGACTTCCCTGAAGCTCCCACACATGGCTGCCTTAGGTAGACATTCTGCCAGGAGGAGGAGCACAAGTATCATAGAGATCAGCCTCAGGCCTGATTGGTCAGGAGAGAGGTCCCAAGGTCAGTCTAGAAGCCCAGGGCTTCAGTGGGTGAGTAGGAGGCAAGGCGGAGAGGACGGGGCGATTAGGGACGGGCTGCACAGGCTGCATCTGAAGTGCTTTGTCCTAAACTGCCTGGCTCATAGCCCTACCCTACCCCCACATCCCATCCCAGGGGGCCCTGCCCATCAGCAGACCAGGAAGATACCACAATAACTGGGGGTCTGGCAGGAAAAACTGTCAGCATTCTCCATGATGACCAGAACACGGGCCCTGAGGCGGTAGAGGAGGAGTAAGACCCTTCCAGGTCCTCTCCCCCAGCCCACGTTCCTCGCAGAATTCTCTTAACAGAATTCCCTAAGTCCCTCATTGTGTCACCTCCCGCATCTCAGAAGACAGCCCCAGGATTTTTATGTAGGGAGGACTCGGGGAGCAAACTGCTTGGTGAGTGTGGCTGTGGAATTCCCCTTGAATCTGCTGTGTTTACATAGCAAGTACTGGTTTTTTATTTCGCTTGAATAGTTATGTGGTGTTTTTTAACGGGAGACCATCCTCCCCCATACACACATACACACCACACGCCCCCCACGCCCCCTGGTACTCCCCTTGGACACGGACCTAGGAAGGAGCAGAGTGTGTTGATAGGCTGGTGAACAGCAATGCCTTAGGAACTGAGAATGTCTTGGATGGCTGGGCGTGTAAGAGGCTCAGTTATAATAATGGAGCCTCGTGGAATAGAAGGAAACTGGACAGGGGGTCCAGAGTCGGAGCTGTTGGTCCTGCCTCTGCAGCTTGGGCAGGTGTTGGGAGCCCCATCCTCCTCCTCCGAGCTGTCTGCCAGTGCTCACCGTGTAGCTGTGCAGTAAATATCAGTCCCTCTCCTCCCCCTAAGCCGGTCCCTTATGTAGGATTATTGTGAGGGGCAGTGAGCTCATATAATGAATGTTCTTTAAAAAGTACAAAGCACTATATACGTATGGGCTTATTTTTATATTTCCAACCTTTCCTTTTAAACTGTCCCATGAATTGCTGCTGCAATAACGCACTTGCTACCCTTTGTTGGGGTACATATTAGGCACATACTGTGATTATTGTGTGAATATGGGATGCAGCTAATTCCTGCATTACAATCACACGTAACTTCAATCAACACAACTCCACAAGGTAGGTACGATTATTTACATTTTATAGATAAGGAAACTAAAGCTTCGTGTTCTTTGTAAAATAAAGTATAAAGAAAAGAAAGTTACACCATCTGTAACCGCTGTTAACATTTTGATGCATTCCTTTGTGTTCTTTTTGCCCTATGCATACACGTATGTGCATATGTAGTTTTAAAAATTGGGATCATATTCTGTGAACCATTTATCTTGGATTTTAATCATAACATTACATGATGGCGTTTGCCTTTTAAAAATCAGCTCCACTGTCCTTTATTCTGCATAGATTTTGAGATAACACAACAAGAAAGCCTACATTAAAATAATCATAAAACGTAAATAAGACCTCAGAATCAGGGAAAAGAAGAACAGAAACATGGAAAGCAAACAGGTCCTAGAAGTTGCTAGGAAGAGCTTTGTCTTAGTTTAGGTTCCCTCAGAAGCAGAGCCCAAAGCCAAGAATTTGAGTTCAAGCAGTTGCTTGGCAGGTGCAAGGGATCCAGGCAGGTGGAGGAGGACATAAGTCAATATTGGGATGTATTAGGCAGGGACCACAGTGAGCAACTGGTACAGGCAGACCTCAGAGGCATTACGGGTTCGGTTCCAGACCACCGTAATCAAGCAGGTATTGCAGTAAAGTGAGCTGTAACCTTTTCTGCTGGCAGAGGGTCTTGCCTTCCATTTGTAAAAAATGAAGCACAGTAAAACTAGGTGTACCTGCACTTAATCCCATGTGGAAGCTGGGAAACAGTGTAAAACCCATGACCCAGAAAGATCCCAGGTGGCACGGGATTTGGGGGGGGGGGAGTGCGGGCCTTTATGCACCCACACCTGTCAGTAATTGGGTAAAAGGTGCTTGGAGGGCAGGGAAGCACAAGCCTATGATTCCCAGGGGCTTCTGGCCTGATTTTGCATGGACAGCCCAAGGGTAGCCCAGAGACTGGCCATTGGAAGTCAGGCCGGTGTGACTAGAAATGATAAAGGGTGTATCCAGGGGGTGTGGGCGTGGGACCCACAATGACTATTCCAGCCTCAGATTGGGCTGCAAGCTCCATACCTGAGTCATGACCCACCCTGGAATTCTTATCCTCAGAGAAAAGGTTCCCTCGGGGGTTTTATGTAGAAACCATTGCACAGGACAGTGGGCGATGTCCACAAACAGCATTTTCCTGGAAAGTGCAGTTGAGGATTTTATGTAACTGTTGTCTGGTTGAGACCTTTGATTTAAAAGTCAGAGAAGAGTGAAAAAACAGTTTGGCAATTTCTCCAAAGGTTAAACATAGAATTACCATATGACTCAGCTATTCCATTCCTGGGGGACGTATTCCAAAGAATTGAAAGCAGAGACTCAAACAGATATTTGTATAGCTATGTTCAGTGCAGCATTATTTACAACTAGAGGCCTGGTGCACAAAATTCGTGCACTCGGGGGGGCGTGTCCCTCAGCCCGGCCTGTGCCCTCTTGCAGTCTGGGAGCCCTTGGGGGATGTCCAACTGATGGCTTAGGCAGGGAGCGGGCTTAAGCCATCAGTTGGACATCCTTAGTGCTGCCACGGAGGTGGGAGAGGCTCCCGCCACCGCCACTGCACTCAGCAGCCATGAGCCCGACTTCTGGCTGAGCAGCACTCCCCCTATGGGAGTGCACTGACCACCAGGGGGCAACTCCTGTGTTGAGTGTCTGCCCCCTGGTGGTCAGTGCACTTTATAGTGACCAGTCGTTCTGCTGTCAGGCCGAAACCAGCTCTCCAACATCCTCCAAGGGGTCCTGGATTGTGAGAGGGCACAGGCCAGGCCGAGGCACCCCACTGGTGCACGCTCAGGGCTGAGGAGGGACGCAGGTGGTTGGCCAGCTGGGGAGGGATGGTGGGAGGGCTCCAGGGCATGTCCGGCCTGTCTCACTCAGTCCCAATTGGCCAGACCCCAGCAGCAAGCTAACCTACTAGTCAGAGCGTCTGCTCCCGGTGGTCAGTGCACGTCATAGTGACTGGTCAACTGGTCAACTCTCTGCCCCCTGGTAGTCAGTGCACGTCATAGCAAGTGGTTGAGCGGCCTTCACATTTCATTAGCATACTATGCTTTGATTGTTGAGTGGACAACCGGACACTTAGCATATTAGGCTTTTAT